TTCCTTCCTTCCTTCCTTCCTTCCTTCCTTCCTTCCTTCCTTCCTTCATTCCTTCCTTCCTTTCCTCCTTCCTTCCTTCCTTCGATGTGCAGCATTGATCAAGGATGTGTGGTGATCATGGGGCTATGGGAGAGGTGCAGCACAGCTCAAGGAGAATACATTGGGGGTGCAGGTAGGGAAGGGTGCCTCTGAGTGCTTGGGGGTATGTGAGAAATGCCATGCATAGAAATGCATAGGGTTGTACAGAAGGTACTGCAGGGAAGGTGTGCAGGGAGAGGCAGCACCAATTGGATTATGCAGGAGGTGGTATTATTCGGGAAATGTATATTGTGGTTTCTTCTTCCCTATGCCTCCCTCTCGTCCCTCTTTCCATTCCTGTTTCTCTATCCTTCCTTCCTTTCACCCTCCCCTTCCCTTTCTAGCAGGCAGTTCATTGGCTAGTGCTGGGTGGGGGAGGGAGCAAGGGGATTGCAAGAACGGATGGGATACTATCATTGAACTATTAAAATGAATATCATGATTGCAGCAGCAACCAGTAGCATTGAAGCAGCCATAACTGGCTGCTTCATTTTTTCAGGACTCATGGGACTCCGATTTTACACACATTCTGAATTTTGAGATATCTAGTTCAAAAATTGTTGTCCTAAGATGCATTGTTTCACTCAATTAAAGGTCATGACAAGTTATTGTATACAAATAACTCAAGGTGGTGAACATACCCAACACCTTCCTCCTCTTATTTTCCCCACAACAATCACCTCTTGGGTGGGCTGGGCTGAGAGATGGACTGGACCAAGGTCACCCAGCCAGCTTTCATGGCTAAGGTGGGACTTGAACTCATGGTTTTTCCAGCCTGGTGCTTTAACCACTAGACCAAACTGACTCTCTCATGTTCTGTCATTCCCTTTACATTAGAAAAGTAGTTGCTGCAGTATTAAAACTTCAGTTGACAATGTTCTATGTAGTTGCATACTTAAAGAAGATTCACTGGAAAAGTAGAGTATGATGGCCAATTGTTCTCTCAGAATCAAATTGTTGATAATAGCAATAACATTTAGACTTATATACCTCTTCACAGTGCTTTACAGCCCTCTCTAAGCATTTTACGGAACCTGCATAAGGTCCCCAAAAAACTGGGTCCCCATTTAACCAACCTTAGAAGGATGGTAGGCTGAGTCAACCTTGAGCCTGTCAGGGTTGAACTGCTGGAGCAGAATTAACCTGCAACACTGCATTCTAACCACTGCACCACTACAGTTCATGGTTTGGCTGATGCAACTGAAGGAAAGGCATGAAGAGAAGTGATTTAACATTCCTCCTAAACTATTTACAACATTTCCCCACTATTTTAGGGAAAGATTCGGGATCTTTCCAGGATGATGTGGAAAACAAGATAAGGGCAGTGAAATTCCCTAATCAACAAAGATTATATAAAAAGACTAAGTTTGCCTGTTAGTTCCCCCAATGCTGGTTTTCTCAACTCTTTCCTAATAATAAAGTAGCAGCATTGGAAATAAATTTACAGTAAGAGAAAATTGACTGGAAAAATGTGGTTACAGTAACAGTAATAACAGCAACAACAATAAGGCAGGGGTGGGATTCTACCAGTTCGCACCTATTCGCTAGAACTGGTTGTTAACATTCTAAGCAGTTCGGAGAACCGGTTGTTAGAATAAATTACTGGCCTAATTCTGTAAGGAAGTCAGGAAGGAAACATTCTGGTGTTGCTTACAGAAACTGCCTCCCCGTTAACCCTTATTACATTCTTGGCAGGACTAGACTTCCTGTCTCAGGAACTTCTCTGGAGTTTTTTTCCCCTCCTTTGCTGGTACTTTGTTTGTGTGGAGTGACCGTTCAAAGTTACAATGGCACTGAAAAAAGTGACTTATGACCATTTTTCACACTTACGACTGTTGCAGCATCCCTACAGTCATGAGAGGCCAGGTGAGGAGATGCGTGCCTCGATGTGAGTGATATTGAGTTGGCCACATCCAGCCAATAACATGACCACCAAGCCATATCCACCCAGCCACATGACCACTAAGCCATGCCCACCACCTAAGCCACGCCCACAGAACTGGTTGTTAAAAAAATTGAATCCCACCCCTGCAATAAGGGTAAGGGCAATTCAGAATTTTCCATGTTGCCAATTCTTACAGTTCTTTAAATTGTGCCTCTGTCCTGGTTTGTAGGAATTTGGCAGAATCCTGTCCCATATGATTATTAAATGCACCTGATGTTGTTCACATTGGTCCAATAATGTCATTTTAAATATTGCACCAAACTATGCTATGACATACAGGTCATTTGTATAATAGCTATTTTAGGTTTTTGAGATTATGTTTTTAATTGTTACCAGAGTTATTTTTCTGATTATGAACTTTTATATTGTATTTAAGGGCATTCTAGGGTCAGGATTTGCATTAAAAGTACAGGAACAGCATCGTCAGAAACATTTTGAGAAGAGAAGAAACCCTGCTGCCAGTTTAATTCAAGTAAGTAGCAAATTAAGCAGATTTTCAAAAATGAAGTTTGAATAAAGAATCCTTTGTCCAAAGAATTTATTGCATAGCTTGCATATGCATGTATATAATGCATTTTTGTCTAAGGTGTTGAACACATTATAGTAATATTGTCATGTAGAAGGAATCAAAATACATTTAAATGTATGAAGAGTTGATGTTTTAATTGTCCTACTATTAGTACAATGATTCTCTCTTTTTGTTTTGAATGAATTCCTTCACTTTCTTCATACCCACCATCCTATAATTTAAATGATTACACTCCTTTGAAGGGAGTTAGTTTATGTAATGTATGATATATAGAGGCACAGAATTATTCTCACATTCTTTGGTTCTTGTCATTTTTCTTCCTGTATGAGTAAGCCTCATTATCATTTGGAAGCTGAACCAAATCTCTTCTAAGGGATTTTGACTTCCAAATTATGCTGGATTATGGCTTTGAAACAGAAATGCCAAATGTCTCTGTGGATAGATGATTCAGTTTTTTTGCTGGACTGTTGTTTATGCTTCTCTTAGAGGTAATGGCTGTGCAGCCACTGTCTTCCTACTTGCAAACAGAATGCTACACAAACAGGATGCTATTGGAAAAAAAAATGCTTGCTAGAATTTTTATTATACTATGAATTAGGCCTAGGTGTACAGTTCTAGGATGTGCTGCATGCTTTACACTATAAAGACTATAAAGAATAACAGAATGGAAAAAATCAGGGATGGGATTCTACCAGTTTGGACTGGTTCTATAGAACTGGTTGTTATGATTCTGCACAGTTCGGAGAACCAGTAAATCATGCCCCTAGCTGGCCCTGCCCTTCTCCGCCCACCCCTTCCCACCCAGTCAGTCCTTATCACGCATGCGTGACATCGCATGCATGCCCAACATCGCTGACTGCATTCTCCCCCACCCAGTCACTCCTTAAGGTGTTTCTTTTTTCCCCCTCCTGACATCAGCTGTTCCAACAATCAGCTGTGCTGGGATCCCCTTCGCTGTCTTTCTGCTTTGGCCAGGAGGCTTCCCTGAGGCCCAGGAGGCAAAAAAGGGGCATGCGGGAGGTGGTGATATTGCAGTATCCCCCCAGCCCTCCATTTTTTGCCTTCCTGGACCTCAGGGAAGCTTCCTGGGAGCAAAAAAGCCCCCCAGGAGGCTTTCCTGAGGCCCAGGAGGACCAAAAACAGATTGTGGGCAGGGGTGCTCCAAAAAAGAAGCCACACCCACCTACTCACATGGCCACACCCACAGAACCGGTTGTTAAAAATTTTTGAATCCCACCCGTGGAAAAAATAGATAGATTTACCCAAGTGTTAGCGGTTATGTTAAAATATACTTTGATATTCCCAGATCTCTGTTCATATTGAAGGAGAAAAGAGGATATGGCCTCTCTGTCTATCTGTAACAGCTAGTAACTTATTGTATTTTTCACTCTATAAGACGCACTTTCACCCCCACAAAAGTGGGTGGGAATGTCTGTGCATCAGTGCCAGTCCTTTGGTGAATAGCCGCCGGGCGACGGCGGCAGGGTCCTTTTACAGTGCTGAACCCCGCCTCTTCTGTCTGTCATTGCATCTTCTGTCTCTTTTCCGCAGTGCAGGAGTCAATAGACAGAGCTGGCACATGAGAGGACACCTATCAGTGGTCCTCTCAGGCTCCACCTGATTTTTTTTCTAGTTTTCCTCCTCTAAACCTAAGTGCATCTTATGGTCAGGTGCATCTTATAGTGCAAAAAATACAGTATATAAAGTTGCTAGATGGCAGAGTGGTTTTAAAGTGGCTACTCTCAGCCTAGTGATTAAATATAACTTGATGGTATATATGGCTTGAATGTGAGAAGGCCAGACCAAGCAGCGGGTGAAAGCCCCTGATTCATTTGATCCAGGGCGAGCCTTGAGTATAAATACGTCTTAAGATTCATGCCAGATGAACTGAAAGAGGAGGTTGTGACACACATTCTCCCTTCTTTACAGCAGCCTTTCCTATCTTGGGTCCCTTGAGTTATTTGGATTAGAATTCCTTTCATTCTCAGCCAGCCTGGCAAATGGTAATAATAATCAGCAATGAAGAGAACTGAGTACAAACCATCTGCATGGATTCAAGTTTGGGAAGGTTGTTCAGCAAGGCTCTCTTTCCCAAAGCCCACTGTAAAAAAAAAAATCCACTTGCACGCGTCCACTCACACTGGTGTTCAAGGGGGGTTCAGTAGGATTTATTCCCAAATAAATGAACATAGGACTGTGGAATTGCTGACAGTACAGAAGAGTCATTCACAGAGAACAGACTATTGCTTGAGTCTTATTTTTCTCTTATAACCATGTTAGATGTCCACAAGGAAAGCAGTTTATATTTTTTGCATTTGATGTAAATAGCTTCTTTTATCATAAAACAGGAAGGATCTGAACAGCTGGGAATAATAACTTTTTATTTTAGAAGTATTAATGGGAAATGTATACTATTGGGTCATTTTGTGCACTTATATTCTAAGGATAGAGCATTGCATAATGGTTAAAAGCATTAACAGGCAAGTTGCTTGTGAAAATATATCCTGTCAGCCATAATTGTTAGGATAATGTATCTAAAACTATAATCCTTTTGTACTGTGATCATTCAAAATGATTTTTATGACCTTTCATTAATTATTTATACCGATCTGATCGATTGCAGCTGCCTTATTTTCAAACTCTCAATGGCCAGGTATTAACTTCTAACTTAGCCTAATGTTCTGTTATGAAGCAGGAACTATTCCATGCCCCATTTGCTGGTATTTGGGAAAGCTGTGAAGATAGGATAGGATAGGATAAGATAGGATGGAATGGAATGGAATGGAATGGAATGGAATAGAATAGAATAGAATAGAATAGAATAGAATAGAATAGAATAGA